AGTGAAGAAATAGAAGAGTTTGACAAGTGAATTACTAAAATAGTAGAACAGACTTCTGGAACAAGTCAGAATATACTAAGTTTCTATTCTGGCCTTATAATAAATGACCTTATCCTAAAAGTGATAGATCTAAAATATCAAGGTAAACATATAGGAAGAATAGCAAGAAAGTGGATATTGAAAATACAAAAAAGAGTCTGCAATCAAATTCAAAAAGAAGTCTGGAACAAGAAATGTGAAAAGGTAATCGAATGGGAATGAAAATAAGGAATCAGTAATGAAGACAAAATGAAAAGACCTTCTTGTCTTTCAGGCCAGAAAACTACATTTTAAAAGAAAAGAAATTCATTATCAAAAGAAGGAAACCTTGAAAATGAAAGCCTACAAAAAATTCTAACAAGAAGAGTGAAGTATGGAATAAAATGGTTGGGTTTTAAGCTCTGTTAGAACCTCATAAAGTGTTCTGCAATAGTGACCTGCAAGCAATGAAGTTAACAGTTGGAAGGGTCTTTACTTGAACTGCTAATGGAGTGATAAATCACTCCCGAAGTTGCACTTAGAGTTTTAATAATTCTTAAAATAGAGGTGAATGAGTTAGATAGAGACTTAACTTTAGTGATACATTTTTAATATAAAGTATACATATGTTTAATAAAGCACACATACCTAGCCTGACAAAGGGTTTAAAAAAAAATAGTTAAATCAAGACCTATGAGTCAATAGCACAGTAGTAATACTCCTAGGTTACAATCACAAGGTCTATAGTTCAATACTACTTAAGGACCAAAAATCAAAATTACCCTTCTGATCAGGTTTGCCGATTATCCTGTGAAAGTCGTACCCAATCCTTTGGAACAAGCTTTAATCAGGTTAGGTTGCATTAAGATGTAACTTCTGGCCTTTTATTGATTAGGGATTGAGATCTACAGTCATATTACTGGAAGGATTGCATGAAGAAAGACTTCTGGTCTAACTTATTATAAATGCTTCACAAGACCCTCTGTCCTGGCAAAATAAAGGACCCTCATTCTTCTAGCTTAGGATATCCCAATATGGTGCTTCACTTAAATGAAAATCAGTCAAATGGAACTGATCCGATGTCACAGGTGGTGACAAAGAAGGTAATATGCTCCCTTCCGAGATTTGAGCGAATAATATCTGGGAGTAGTGAAGAGTAAAACTAAATCCCATCAGGTACATACTATATAGACTAGTTTAGTGAATATAACAAAAATTTATAAAATCTCAATACTAAATTAGCATGTTTCATCATCAATGACTGTGTATTAACCGTCCAGCCCCTAGTTGAATCTACCCCACTCACAGAGTGGTTAATGGATCCACCTAGAGAAAATCGTGATAGGTTATTATTAATCTGCATGTATATAGAAAATATATAGGTTGTATGAGATGATTGATGTGATGCCCAGGATTTTATTATTTAAGATGTTAAGTTAATTCTTAATAAAAGTGCTTGCATCTAATACCAGTTGTGGTTTAGAAAAAAAAAAAAATAGTTAAATTAATTTTAGATTAAAGAAATAATTGAATACAAATAAAAAAGATAATTATCTTTATTAAATTAGTTATGTCTTTTAAAATGTTTCACAAAAAGGATATTTATTTTTTTATTGATTGAATTGATTATAATTAAATATATTGTATATCTTATTAAAGATTAATAATAGATCTGCTAGTTTAACTTCTAACAATAAACATATAGCGATCAAAAAAATTTTTTAAATTTTTTTTATAGACTTTGAATTTTTATTATAATATATTAATACTAGTCTAACAAGATATTAGATCTTTTTTTAATCTGAAATAGTAATATGTTTTGATATATATTATTAGATTTTAGAAGATTAAATAGTATATGAGTATAATGGTTTTTTGTAATCTTTGAAAATATGAATATTTGTGTATTATTTTATCAAAGTTAATAAACAAAATTGAGCCAACTAATAAAAAAAAAATTTTTTTTTTATAAATGCATAAAAATAAAGTGTCTATAAGACAGTTTTGAGAATAACTTATCTATTTCTTTTGCATGCTTTAACGTAAGTTAAGTAAGCTTTTTCTCCATAAGGAAGCATTAAATTTAATATCTTTATTATGTGAATAAGACTACAATAATACATTTCTATCTTGTGCGTTCAACAAGTTGCCCTTGTTTAAGACTGTGGTGATCCCATTCAACAGTTGCTCTTCTCATAATCAGAGATATTGTTATTGTTACCATGATCTCTATTGAGGATTTAATTGGGTTGGGTGCTTGTTTGCTCATAAGTCATAACGAGAGTAGTCTTTTCGAGTGCGAACTGCTAACCAGAAAAAATAACGGGCTATATGAGGGCGGGGTTATGTGTGCTTACTTTTTTTACACGTAGAGTGATTACCTACATGATTAGGTGAGGACTATTAACCAATAAAACGAATGAAAGCACATGATATCTCTCGCTCAAATGTCCTTCGTAATACGTACTCGGAAATCTGCATAAATTTCTGAGATGTTTAAAATAGACTATCTAAGTTTTTTTATACACAATGCATACGGCCTAATGTTGTCTTCATTTTCCGTAATCCATTCTTGATCTTCATTTTTTTTTTGCAGGTCAGCAGGGTTAACTCGATTTTGTAACATAACCTTATAAGTTTGATTTTCGTATTGAAATTCCTTGGCAAATCGTTCAGCATAAGTATAATAAGGAGATGAATAAATTCCTTTCCCAAATTTAAATCTTTTTCCTTTGCTTTTATCATACCCATCACCAGAAATATCATTAGCGGCATCTTTATTAGTGCCGTGATAAGATATAGGTCAAGCGTCTGAATCGATTCCTAACCATTTACTGTCCCCATATTTTTCAACGTTGAAAGCGATTTTTTCCCATCCGATGGGTAGATGATATCGTTCTTTTCCACGTCTATGCCATCCGTGATCATATCCATTTATATAGTCATAATCATATTTTGGGTTTAAAATACCCTTAGTGATAACATAATAACCTACAAAACCACCTAATAATCGATGCGTTACGTGTATGGTGCTATGTTGTTCGATATCGTATGATCTAAGAGTTCTGTGATCTTCCAATGGTCTGCACATAAAACTAAGACTTAACACCGATTCTTCAATGTCAAGCTTTCTTTGAATTTTTCGCCTCAACTCAAGGACAGTGCTGCTCAGATTCACAAATATAGAGCAAGGATCTCCGGAGAAGGTGTAAAAAATTTGAACAACTTCTCTTTTAACGAAATAATATGTAACGGTAATGAGGCAAATGAGCATTAAAATACAATTATGACATAACGAGACAGGCGGAAAGGAGAAGTAAAGAAAAGATAATAGGGCACCTATCAATATATTCTTCGAATGGAGGTTTTTCAACGAATTCACCATTTTCATCAACTTTTAAAAGGCAGTATTTTTGAACCAACTCGATATCTAAAGTTGGCACGCCTGGTATTTCGGATTCGGTTGCCTCTACACGACAACCAATCATAGATGAAAACGCCTTGGCGACAAGTTTTAAAGGTAAAATATCACTCATGGTTTTAGGATGCTAAAAAAAAACTGTTGCCAATTTTATTTATAAGTTTCTCGTGGCCAAAAAGAATGAATCACTATGATCGTCGATCTTT